CAAACAATACAAAGCTATTGCCGGTTTGCAACTGCAATAACCATCATCACCACCAACCCCAAATGCCACCACCATCAACATCACTACCTCTTGTACCAAAAGACCCAACCACCGAACCTTACACAACAGTCAACACGGCAACTACGCACAACTACCGCCCACGGCACACACACAATACCACCACATCACAAGCCCACGACACTGTACAACCGCAACACACAGCACAACAGTCAATCACAACCAGATCCGCCGCCATAGCTCACCGTCCAACAACCATTTACCAAAAATTTTTAAAAAAAACGATCGATTGGCTCTTTGGCGAAGCTCAAATACGTCGCGAGATCCTCACAACGACGGCGGTCTGCATTATCTGGCCGATGATTCAAGCTTCTTCTGGCCAGGGATGCTGTGAGTGGTGATGGCGCCGTGAATGGCTGGGGCTGGGGAGAGAAGACGATGAAAGAGAGAGCGAGAAAATGGCTGGGGACTGGAGAGAGAGCTATACGAGAGAGAAAATGGTAGGGTTTGGGATAAAAAAATGTATATTTAATATTAATATCTAAATATGCTAATATCTGATTTTAGAAATATTAAAGTTCCCATCTGATTTTAGAATTCATGATTTTAATGGTAGGGTTTTGTGTAATTACCACTTCCATAATTTTCAGATTTGATATTTCTTCCACCTTAGAAGAGAATATTGATAAATTCACAAAACTGATTCAAGACTTGGCTAATTATGATGAGAAGTCATCTAATGATCAACAAGCTATTGCTTAGTTGAATGCTTTAGGCGATGAATATAGGAAGATTAGAAATGCCTTAGAGTATGGAATAACGGGTTTAACTGTTGACATTATCATCTTAGTTTTAAGAAATAAAGAACTTCAACTAAAGACTGAGATAAAAGATTCTAAATTTGGGAAAAGATTAAACGTTAAAGAGAAACTCAATCAGAATAAAAAGAAGAATCAGTGCAACTTTAACTCCCTAAAAAAGGGAGAAATCTTAAATTCCCAAATTTAGAAATCAAAATAAGAGTCAAAAAATAAGAGTAAACTGAAATCCAAAAATTAGGTTAGGAAATGTTACTACTGTACCAAAACTAGACATCTTATAAAGATTGTTTTAAAAAGATATCTAATATGCAAGAAAAGTCGAACATTGATGGCTCTGCAGCAATAGTATGCAATAATAAATATGAAGTACAAGGAGTTGCCCTTGTGACTTCAACAAAAAGAAACCCAAAAGAATAGGTTTTTTTTATCTTGGCTGCTCCTTTCATATGTGTCCTACCAAAGAATGCTTTACTGAGTTCAATGATTTAAATGATGGCCAAGCCCAAATGGGTAATGATATGACTTGTAAAATAAAAGGAATTGGTAAAGTTAATTTTTTGCTAGACAATAGCCATATTCTTGAGCTTCCTTTAGCTAGATATGTCCCTGACCTCTAACTGAACCTCATTTCCTTAGGAGAATTGGATAATGAATACGAGATTAAAATGCATAAAGAATTTATCGAATTGAATCTCAATTCTAAAGAGATAATTTCTTCACCCGAAGTTTATGGCATCTGCACACTTCAAGCCGAACTATTAGTTGGAAAATTATCAGCTATTACTCAATTCTCTGGTGACCAAACCATGGTATGGCATGAAATACTAGGTCATGTCAATGAAAAGGATTGATGATTCTCAATAAACGTGGATGTTTTGGTAAATATGATATTAAGAGTTTAAAATTTTGTGAAAGTTGTGTTATAGGAAAACAAAATAAACTACCGTTTAAAACAGAAATTCATAAATCCACATCAACACTTGATTACTTACATGTTGACTTGTAGAGACCAGCATCAGTAAGTACCTTGAGTGATAGATTCTACCTGTTGATTGTAGATGATTTTTCAAGAAAAATCTGGACTTTTCTTCTAAAATCCAAATTTGACACTTTCCAAAATTTTAGACTGTGGAAATTGATGATTGAGAATCAAACAAATAAAAAGACCAAGGTGCTTAGTATTTTGAGCTATAGAACCACAACTTACACTCCTTAGCAAAATGATGTTGCTGAGAGAATGAACAGAACTTTACTTTAAAAAGTCAGATATATGTTACTACGTTCTAGACTTTCCAAATTATTTTGGGTAAAGCTTTAAAAATGGCCACTTATTTGATAAATAGGATTCCTTCTAGTGCCATTGACTTTAAAATTCATGAAACATTGTGGTCTGAAATTTTTTTGGATTATTTCAGACTTAAAGTCTTTGGTTGTGCTGCCTATTCTCACCAGAATGAAGGCAAATTGGAACCCGGATCTTTAAGATGTATTTTTCTTGGGTTATGGTGAAGAATCTAAGGGGTGTAGACTTTGGATAAGAAACACAATAGGTTTAAAGTCATCATAAGCAGAAATGTCATCTTCAATGAAGATGTCTTCCCTTGTAATGGTTCTAAAATCATGAACAACCTGAATTTGTTACTGTCAAAAAAACCTTTCTTGAAAGAAATGGAGATAATCCTGCTAGGCCAAATAATATTGAGGTAGAGCCTACACAATTTGAATTAGATCAACGTCAATCTGTCCCTTCAGATTATCAATTAACCAGAGACAGGGCAAGAAGAAAAAGGATCCCTTCCACTAGAATTAATATTGATTAATTTGTTACCTTTTATTCTAAAATAGAATTTGTTAATTTTGAACCCACGACTATGAGAGAAGAAATAAACTCCTTAGCCAGGGTTCTTGTTAACAAACCAAAAGATCAAAAGGTTGTTGACTGTAAATGGGTTTACAAAATAAAATAATGAGATTATATTAATGGAGGAAAAAGATACAAGACCAGACTAGTGGCTAAATGGTTTAAACAAAGGAAAGGAACAGATTATAACGAATTTTTTTCACCTGTTGCTAAGTGTGCTTTCATTAGAATTTTGCTTGCATTTTCTGCTCATTTTAATTGGAAATTGGACCAACTTGATGTCAAAACTACTTTTTTAAATAGAGACATTGATGAAACAATTTATAAAAACAAACCCAAGGGTTTTGAATTGAATACTAAACCTGAAAGTCTATCTATTGAAAAAGTCACTTTATGTTTTAAAACAAGTATCCAGACAATGGTATAAGAAACTTAACTCATATGTTCAAAATCTAGGCTTTTCTAAAAGCAGTTTTGACTCATGTCTCTATTTTAAAGGATCTAGTGGGCCAAATTCTATTTACTTACTTCTATATGTTAATGATATGCTTCTTGCTTCCCAAAATAAATTTGAAAATTGATGTAGTTAAGTTAAAGCTAAAGGTAGAATTTGAAATGAAAGATTTAGGACAAGTAAAACGAATCTTAGGAATGTAAATAAAAAGGGATAGAAATAACTGTGCGCTTTATGTAAACCAATCTGGTTATAGAAAAAAGGTTCTTGAGAAATTCTCCATGTTTGAATGTAAACCTGTATCTTTACCTATTGCAAATTACTTTAAGTTGTCAAGTGAACAATTCCTTCAAATTGATGAATAATTTGATAGGATGAAGAAAATACCTTATGCAAATGCTGTAAGCTCAATTATGTATCTTATGATATGTACTAGACCTGATTTGGCCATTGCAGTGGTGTCTTGAGTAGATATATGGCTAATCCCGATGAAACTCATTGGCTAGCAATAAAATGGATGTTAAGATACTTAAAGGGTTCAATGGATTTAAGTCTAAAGTTTCAAAGATGTAATGAAGGTGTAATTTTAAATGGATATTGTAATTCTGACTTTGTGGGTGATCTAGATAAAAGAAGATCTACTTCTTCTTATGTATTTACCTTAATCAATAGTTATGTAAGTTAGAAGTCCTAATTACAGAAACTTGTGGCCTTATCCTTTATAAAAGCATAATATATAGCAACATATGATGCTGTAAAAGGACTATGGTTGAAGGGACTATTGATTAAAATCAGTTTTAATAATGAGTTACTCAATATTTTTACAAATAATCAAAGTGTCATACACCTAAGTAAAAATCATGTATATTATGATGGAACCAAACATGTTGACATCAAATTTCACTTTTGCGAGGAACATGGTTGAGACAAGAATGATAAAACTGATTAAGATCCATACTGACTATAATCCCTCTGATATTGACATGAAAATTTGACCTTTGAACGAGTTTAGGAACTACTTAATAATTCTGAATATTGGTTAAAGAAAGTTAAAGTAGGAAGCATGTTCATTATCCTTATTTTCAAAGGATTTCATTGTTTTTAAAGAAAAATCCTTTGTGTTCATTTATTTTCTACAAAATTTTTGATTGAATTTTTGTGAATAACGATTCTAAGACCAACACATTCTCACATCAATGAAACATGGTATAAGTTATACTTTAAGGAAATTACATAAACTATAATATGATTTAAAATTTAAATTAACATAGATGTTAAGTCACATTGATGGTAACTTATGAAAATGAAGGATTTCTTATAAAAAATTACATATACTTCAAAAAATTAACAAAAAATAAAATTCAAAAAATTGCTTACGTCGTAGTAAAAAATATTGGCATGAAAAATATCACTTAGAAAAGAAAATATTTTTCATCTTTCGTGGAAAATAAAAACCACTTCTACTCAAGGAAAATGTTTTCCTTAAAAAAAGAAAGAAAATTAAGCATATTTTCAAAAGTTGAAAAATGTTTTCCATGAAAAAAATAGCAATCAAACACTCTAAGTAGGAATTTGGATGGAAAATTGATATTTTCTATGGAAAATAAATGTAATCAAACACCCTAAATAAGAAATATATAATGGTTTACATATTGATGAAGTGTCGTAAAGATTATACAAAAGTTTATTTACTTAGTTGAATAAATTCTGATTCAATTATATCTCATCATATCAAATATACATAAATTATTATATATATATAATACGATCAATATATGAAATACATTTTAAGTCACATGATTTGTCAACTTGGTTCAGAAATGTTCAGAGGCCTAATTAACCCTTGTAACAAAGCTGTGACTATTCAAAGCCCAATCAAAATCAAGCCCACTATTTATCAAACGGAGTCGAGGCAAAGCAATCGGAATCGGATCTAGACACACCTCGAAGCGCTAGCAATCTGAACCCTAAATCACCAAATCAATTTCACTAAAGTTTCACAAATTTCTCAATCCGAACCCTAAATACCCTGCTTCCAAAGTTCAATTCGACAGGAAGATATGAAGAGGGGTGGAGACGACGTCGCGGAGAAGCTTGATGGGGCAAAGAAGCCTGTATTTCTCTCCAAAGCACAGCGAGAACAGCTTGCTCTTCAACGCAGGCAAGAGGAAATAGCTCAACAAAAACGCAAAGCCGAACTTTTTCTTCAAAGCAACAATGACTCAAAACCCCTTCCTTCTTCCGACCGTGACCGTGACTTGGACCGCCGGTCTTCACGTGACCATGATAGGGATCGGGAAAGGGAAAGGGAAAGAGAAAGAGAAAGGGATCGGGATGTGGAGCGAAGGAATAGGGAGAAAGAGCGTGAAGAAGAGCAGAAGGCACGTGAGCGTGCTCGATTGGAGAAATTGGCCGAGCGAGAGCGTGAAGTTGAATTAGCTGCTATTAAGGAACAGTATTTGGGGTCTAAGAAACCTAAGAAGCGGGTGATTAAGCCCAGCGAGAAGTTCCGGTTCTCTTTCGACTGGGAGAACACTGAGGATACTTCTCGGGATATGAATTCGCTGTATCAGAATCCTCATGAAGCTCGGCTACTCTTTGGTCGTGGTCTCCGGGCGGGAATGGATCGGAGGGAGCAGAAAAAGCTTGCGGCTAAGAATGATAAGGAGATTCGTGAGGAGGTTAGAAAGAAAGAGGGTGTTGAGGAGACACGCGAAGAAGCAGCTGCTCAGAAGAAAAAGGAAAAGGCTGCGGATTTATATGATACTTTCGATATGAGGGTGGATCGCCATTGGTCTGAGAAGAAGCTGGAGGAGATGACTGAGAGAGACTGGAGAATTTTCAGGGAAGATTTCAATATTTCTTACAAGGGTTCGAAAATTCCCCGCCCTATGAGAAGCTGGATTGAGAGTAGGTTGAGTCCTGAGTTGTTGAAGGCAGTGGAGAGGGCCGGCTACAAGACTCCATCGCCAATTCAGATGGCTGCCATTCCTCTTGGCCTGCAGCAGCGTGACGTGATTGGCGTTGCTGAGACTGGTTCGGGTAAAACTGCTGCCTTTGTTCTTCCCATGTTGACTTACATTACCCGACTTCCTCCTATGACCGAAGAGAATGAGGCTGAGGGACCTTATGCCGTCGTGATGGCGCCTACTAGAGAGCTTGCTCAGCAAATTGAGGATGAGACTGTAAAATTTGCACACTATCTGGGTATGAAGGTCGTTTCTATTGTTGGTGGGCAGTCCATTGAAGAACAAGGTTTTAGGATTAGACAAGGGTGTGAGGTTGTGATTGCAACACCTGGACGTCTTCTTGATTGCTTGGAGAGGCGGTATGCGGTTCTCAATCAGTGTCACTATGTAGTCCTCGATGAGGCTGATCGAATGATTGATATGGGTTTTGAACCTCAAGTTATGGGTGTATTAGATGCAATGCCTTCAAGCAACTTGAAACCAGAGAACGAGGAAGAAGAGCTCGATGAGAATAAGATTTATAGAACAACCTACATGTTTAGTGCTACCATGCCGCCTGCTGTTGAGCGGCTGGCGAGGAAGTACTTGAGAAATCCTGTTGTTGTCACCATTGGCACTGCAGGAAAGACAACTGATCTCATTACTCAACATGTTATCATGATGAAGGAGAATGATAAACCAGGTAGGTTGAGGAAATTGCTGGATGATCTTGGTGATAAGACAGCCATTGTGTTTGTTAACACAAAGAAGGTTGCTGATACTGTAGCCAAAAATTTGGATAAGGATGGCTATCGTGTGACTACACTGCATGGGGGGAAGTCACAAGAACAGCGAGAAATAAGCCTTGAAGGATTTAGGACTAAGAGATACAATGTGTTGGTTGCCACTGATGTAGCGGGTCGTGGTATTGATATACCTGATGTGGCACACGTCCTAAATTATAATATGCCTGGCAGTATTGAAGCTTATACCCATCGAATTGGGAGAACAGGACGTGCAGGGAAGACTGGTGTTGCCACCACATTCTTGACTTTGCATGATACTGATGTCTTCTATGATCTGAAGCAAATGCTTATTCAGAGCAACAGTCCTGTGCCTCCAGAGCTTGCCAGACACGAGGCTTCAAAGTTTAAGCCTGGTAGTATCCCTGACCGACCTCCCAGAAAGAATGACACGGTTTTCGCTCATTGATGCAGCAATCTGGCCATATTTTTCTAGAAGATTTCTAATTTTATGTGGGCAATGAATGGATAATAGAAATACAAGATACTGGTGCATTCAAACATCTGGGAAATGGCATGTACACTGCACATTTTCTTTGAAGGGGCTGAGGCATGTATTTAGCTACCTTAAAGAAGTTGTAGTAGCTGATGAGCTTTATGATCCCAGTAGAAGAGTTTAGAAGAGGAAGAAATATATAAAGACTGGCTGGTTTGATGTGGTTGCCAAATATTTGATTTTGTTGGATGCTTCCCTAGTTTTATGTCGTTGATGAATAGAGTTGCAAAAAAGAACTATTGTAGCTGATCCCAAGTTTATTGATTATAAAGCTTACATTGCTCACCTCACTCTGTCTTTTGGAATTATTGCTTAGTTTGTTCTATTGTTGTGTGAAGGACTCTCATTGGTTGACAATGAAGTATTAAGTTCTCTTGAATGGTAGATTATAAGTAATTAAGGAATGCTTCTCCAACCCATTAACTCTAAAGGTAGATTAGATGATCTTTTCAAGGTACCTGGCATTGGCATTATATTAATACATGTGATTATTGAATTTTTTTTATTTTATTATTATTATTATTATTTTATGCATGTTACACGTCAGAGCTTATTGATTTTTTTATTTTTTTACTTTTTTTTGGGCATGTTGCATGTCAGAGGGACGGCTAATAAATATGCTTATGAAATGTGTTACTTTTTGTGGATATTACATGTCGAGGAAAATACATTCTTGTAGTTTTGTAATGGCAATTGTCCGAACTTTTGCTGCTTGGTTTTCTTTTGAATGGTTGCAAAGCTGTCGACTGAAAATGGTTCCACATTTATTTTTTCCCGGGATCGAATTTTTGGGATACGAAATGATTCCAGTGTTTAAACTTCATGCCTTTACTTATACTCTCACAACTGGAAGTTGGTTTTACATATTTCACCGCAGACTCTTGCTTCAACCCGTCATGGTTTTTATTGTTTGGATATTAGTAATGTTGTCGTTCAATAGAATAAAATTCTTAACTGTCTAAGACCTCATCTTAGAGCCTGGCTTGGGAGCTATTCAAGCTGGTTCAAACTTAAGTTAAACACGAATGCAGGGTCTAAGTAGATGAAGGTTGTATGGGCTTGGGAGCAATTATCAGAGGTAACACTGGTGTGTTCATAGCAGCTAGATCACTTCACTTTGCAAGACATATTTGCAGAGGATGCTGAGGCTACGGCTTTTCTGCAAAGTAGATAAATTTGCATATTGCGGTGGTCCAAAGTATGATAGTATCAGTTCTGATTTTCGTTTTGCCCATAATAGTTCACTGTTTGATGACATTGGTCTGTTGTTTCTGTGAAGATAAAAAGTGAATATGCAAATATTTGGATTTGACAATGTTTTGGTCGACCTCTTC